CAATTCCATCTAGGTTGTGAACCAACGATTCTTGTTTCGCAAGTAACTGATATAGTGATCTTCGGTACGCCCGATGATGACCCACTTATCTACATGCAAAACAACAGAATGCGGAACTTATTTAACCAAACATAATTCTCATTCATCAAGGAATAACAAGTGTAATATCCACTAAAGCAAAGCTTAAGTATATAACACCAACAATTTCCACATGCTCAAAACTTCGGCCGCCCTAAGTTCCTGCCGCCTCATCTCGCACGTCGCACGCGTGTGCGTGCGTCTCACACTCCTCCACGGACTGGGACTCTTGCGCGCCTGCCCCGCACGCGCGCCCATGCGTGCGCTCAGTCCCGCGCCCGGTCTCCTCGCGCGCGTTCGTGCCGTTCTCGCCTATGCCTCTCGCGCATAGGCGTGCGCCCGCGTTGCCCATACTCGCGCGCTTGTTGCACGCCTCGTCCCTGCCGACTTTTCCTCGCGCGTCCGCTCCCGCCAATCCTAGGCCTACAAGGCCTAGGCCGTTGCCCGCGTCCTCGCCAATCATGCGCCCAGCGTTCCCCGCACACCCATCGTCCGCTGCTCTGCGCGTGCCGTCAATCACCGTGGCCTGCTCGTCTACCACGCACCCGCGTACGCCCGCTGCCATATGCGTGCTGCCAATCTCCGTGGCTTGATTACCCGCTCCGCACACCATTGCGCCCGTCGCATCCCGTGCTCGATCACTCGGCCATTCACGTGCATCATGGCACGATGCGCTCCATACACCCGATAGCCGATCTTCCTCGATCCCTTTATCGCTCGCCCCCGTTGGCTCGCCCGATGGCCATGGGTCCCATCAATCTAACCCAATACAATCACCAGCTCGCCAAATCCAACCATCCTCTATTTTATGCTTACCTTCCCTTCGAGCCACCATCTTGCGAACTCGCCTTTTCCTTGAACAAGGCTTGCACCAACACTTGTCTTCTTTAGCCTTCGCCTTGCCTTTCCTTCGAGCTCTTTTGGTCTTGCGTCTCCTAGGCTTAAGCTTAGATCGTGGTCCACATCCTTTCGGCCAATCCCTCACACATGATGGCCGGTAAATAGGACTAGATGGCTCCTCCAATATATTTTCTAGCCAAATATCGAGTCCATCGCCACCCTCATCCTCCGACTCGCCTGGGTTGATGACCACTTCCATATCATTCCCCTCCTCTTCGAGACTTTCCTTGTCCTCAAGGATCAGAAAATTCAGCTCCCCTTCATCTTTATGGTTATGAGCATCGATTACCATCGCTTCTTGGGCTTCCATGAGTTGACGCTCGTACTCTTCAATATTCATTCGCTCATGAAGCTCATCAAGATATGTTGCATCCCATGGCGTGAGCTCTCTTTCCAAACCTTCGAACATCTCCAGATCTTCCCAATCCAACTCATCTAATGGTGGGTATGACATTCTTTTTTTTTTTTACTCTAAAAAATTCTAAAAAATAGGGGAAAATTCGAAAAATCGAACCCCCAACAAACAATCTAAATAAAATTGAACCAAAAAAAAGAAATTCGGCCCCTCAACAAAAGGTAATAACCGAACAAAAATCAAACAAAGGACTAACAAGGTGACACTTTTTTTTTTAAGACACGAAAAAATTTGAAAAATTCGAATAAAAATTCAAAAATTTCGAACCAAAAAAGGAAAAGAAATTCGGCCCCTCAGCAAAAGGCAAACCGAAAAAAGGAAAAAAAGATAGATAGATAACAAAACGATCAGCACCTCTCAATGAAAGCACCAATGATGAAAAGTGATCGTGTTGTTATCTATACTTGGGTTGTGAATAAACGGCGCACTCAGGGCCTTCGTTTATCCACGATAGGTGTATCTAACAGACGCACTACGGCCTTCTCCTAGATACCGTGACTTCAAGACGCTCTAATGGCCTTCTCTCCGACACTGTATGTAAACACGCACTAACGGCCTTGTTTAAACACACGTTAAGAACATCAGTTCCCCCTCAAGATTGGCTCACCAATTCAATACTCAATTCAAGACCTCAAATATGATGAGGTACATGGGGTATTTATAGTTGCAAAATAAATCTAAGCCTAA